TTTTTTTTTTTTTTTTTTGACCCTAATTCCTCCCTCAGACATGCATGCATTCCACCAACACTGCTAATATTCCTGCACGGATCGATACAAACGCTGCTCTATAACTAAGATAAGGCTCTGATGAATGAACTCCGAGTGGATTTGCATGTGCCCTTGCGAGTGCACCGGGTCATTCTTGTGCACGCTTGCATTGCACGTCTGGTAATGTAGTCGATTGCATAATAGCCCTGGCATTTGGAGTCTTTATAATTACATTTGTGACTGTGCTAGGGCTGCAGCTCTGCTGATCGCTGCCTGCTCTGGTCCCGGATCAGAAAGCATCACTTCTAGTCGGGACATGGTGTACGTTGCATTTTAAAGCTGCCAGGTATGACATTCCCACAGTTAAAAAAAACCCAACAAAAAACTGGTTCATGTTAGACAAACATGACCTCAAAATACAGTACATTTTTGCTCAAAGACAACATTGCCTTGGGAGTTGCCTAGACCGTTGCCAAGGAACACTTGAGCAACACTTCCACTCCCCCCCCCCTCGATGTCCCACGACCCCGACTGACTTGTCAGCGCTCCATCAGACCACGTGAGAATCCGCCGGCTGCACGGTAATCTCGTTGCACGATTGCAGATCATGAATAAATATAATGGTAATAGCTGGCATTAGTGCGTCCGCAGCTGTTTTGTGCGCGAAAGCCTTCATCACCACATTACAGCGACGTAATAATTAAATCACTCAGCAGTGCAAGAAAAAAAAAAAAGAACCCCGCTCCCTCTTTTTTTCAGGGTGTCGATGCTCGGCGGCGCTCGTTTTCACGGGAACGTCTTGCCCCGGCGCTGATGGAAAGTGACAGTCTAAAAGCCGAAACGCTCTTGCAGTTGAATCCATCAAGCTTTTTTGCAACAGACGCACTTCCTCTGCCGCGATGTTTTGAAACGGTGGAAGGATCCGAATGGAGTCACGTGGACTAGATCTTAAAGGCCTTTGCAGGAATTTCGGAAGTTTGAGGTCTCGTTGAAAGTTGCTCCAAACCTGCAATCACGCCGGACTTGCACGGACGCAGGTTTGGAAGGTTCCCAATTCGAACACGTCGTTGTTATCTGAGTGGATATTTTACGGCAAAATCGACTGAAGCGGCTTCATGTCAGATCAGCTGGTGCAGCCCCGCCAGACGCCCACTGTTCATTAATCATTAGCCACCGGTTTAAATCGCAGTGTTCTGTCCCCGGGTTGATCATTAGCCCCGGGCGAGTCCACCTCTCCAGTGTGTTCTCTCAGGATACAGTCGTAAAAAAAGACAAACCATCAGAAACAAGTAGATAAACTCCACCGTTGGACGCTGGTGCTTTATTTTTTTGCTTATTATGTTTTTCCCAGTGTCGAGTGAAAGACTTGCTTCTGGCTGAGTGATTTTGATCGATAAAAAATCAAGAGAGCAATGAAAAAAAAGCCCCATCAGAAGTCCCCAGAGCCCAAGATGATGCGTATGAAGCTGGTGGAACATAACAAAGTCATCATGTGTGTGTTGAGTGGCTCTGGCTCGACGAGAACCTTTTGGGGGTTTTTGGTTGGAAGAAAACGCTCATTTCAGACTAAATGATCAACTTAAACCTGCAAAATATCCACATTACAGTGAAACAAACTGAGATCATTTGAGAGCCTGGAGGCCAGTGTTTAGTCAGTTGACTTCATAAACAAGAAGATAAACTCAACATTCAGACGCTGGAGCTTTGTTTTTGCCTTACTTCAAGCCTTCACGTATAGAATGAAAGCTAATGGGAGAGACTTGCCGCCGGCTGAGTGATGTAACCGGACTGTACAAAGGAACACAAGGATAGTGGATGGATGCAGCCCCATGTGACCTATTCTATATATTCTCTCCTTCTTCCTCCTCCTCCTCCTCGCCTCTCCTTCGCCCTTCCTCCTGGCTGGGGCTCCTTTAGGGGGCCAGAGGTGACCTTCTTCGCTCTCTCCCAGCAGCGAACACCCCAGCGGGCCTCTCTTTTTGTGACCCTCTTCTGTCTGTCTTTCTTCCTGGCCTCCCTTTTTTTTCCCCCCTTCTTCTTCTTCTCTCCTTATACCTCCTCCTCCTCCTCCTCCTCCTCCTTCCCTCTCGACGTCTACTCCCATCCCCTCCTATTCCCCGTGGCGGGGCAGCAGCAGCGCTGAATGCTAAGAAACATAGAGCGTCCACTTATATAACCTCGGCTGTGCAGCTGATGTCCTGGTCTATATCCGCTGTATAATGGTGTCAGAGCTGTCTGGAGAGGCAGAGGGCATGCTGGGTAGACCAATATGTCACGAGCTATTCCTGAACCGAGCGGGGTGAGCCCGAGGTTTTTGCTTGCATTTTTTTTGGCGCTAAAGTGTGAAGATGCAGTTGATTAGACGTGAGCTTTTTAACGACGTATGGATCTAAGGTTGTTGGAACGACATATTTGCAGCTGATTAGCTCCTCGGACGCACCTCCTAGACTACAATTCCCTCGTCTTTACTTTCTGTTTGACCTCAGTTGACTTGAGTGTTGCTTAGCATATAGAGGCAGGGCCCCGAGGCGCTTCGCCATGCTGTCTGTGTTTTCGCCTATGACTAATTAGATCATAGCCCCCATATGCTATAGACTTGTAGGTTGGCTCATAGGATCCATTCATCCAGGGCGAAACGCAGCCAACCACAAAATGTCATCTGATCATCACGGGTTTCTGCACTGAAACTGGGCTAATAGGTCTTTGTGGCCGTGTGAAGTATAGCTCGTGTTTATCGGCGTGGCCGCACCGTTTTTAGCCGTTCGACAAAAGGCGTCCTCATGAAAGGGCGTCTTGTGTGAGAACGTTTGATTCAGTTTATTTTCATTTGAGCAAATAAATTGTCCCCTTTATGCATGAGGACATCAGGCTCAGATGACTAACCGAACATCAAGGCAATGTTTGACCCGATGCGCCTATACATCATTACGCGTCCTAAACAAGTCCAAGCATGACCGGAATCATGACGGAATCGGAAAGATTTGGGCGACGCTGCACGGTATCGCTCGCTAATTGTGTTCGCACTCAGTGATATATCATAAGCAAACGTATGGACGCAGTAATTCAATCCCGTCAGAGCCGCTTCACGTACTTCTTATTAACTAACAAGTTGCCCGCACAATACCACAGCCTGTTTGTGGTTCCAGTTACGAAAATTAATTTCAGGGCTGAAACTATTTTTATAGCTGAACAATCGGATGGTTATTTTGCTTTTTAAATGTGCAGCGCTGCAGCTAGCAATTACAGATTTAGTTGTTTGGGCTATAAAATGTCAGAAAAATAGTGACATTCAGAGTTTTGTTCACGACCCAAAAGCATTCAATTTACTGCCACATAGGAGGAAAGAAACCAGAAAATGTTCACTTTTAACCCATTGTTTCCATACACAGCCTGCAGATCAACCTAAAAAAATCCCAAAACCTTTGGAGATGTGGAGTGTTTGCACCTAGAAATGCAGAATATTTAGATTTTGCAGAATCTGGTTCAAGCAAATGGTTTATTTTGTAGCATTTTTGCTAAATATTACAATTTCAAATGTGGAATTGACTGAAAATCGAACAAATATTTCTGTTTTTGGAGTTTCTGGCTCTGACAGATTTGGGAACTTTCAAACCAAGCCGGCAGTTTTTGAGTTTCTGAGTCGTTATGAGATGGAATCAGAGAATTTTAACATTTCTCTCCTTTGAAAAGTCACTCAAACCGATTCATCTACTCCATTAATTATTACAGCTCTAATAAAATGCTTAAAAAAAAGGCCAAATATAATTTATAGAAACTCACTGCAATGATAGAAAATACAAAGAAGCAGCAGATATTGACGTTTAAGCATTTCGTTGTTGAATTCCTCATAATCCAGCTGTTGTTTCTGCAGGGCTTGATGATGCATGCAATTAAAAATCTATGAAGGTGGAGTTATTAGATTCCTCCTCCTCCTCCTCAAAAACAAAAAAAAGAAAAGTGCGAGCGGATGTGTAAATGCCGCGGCAATAATAAAAAAGTAATGTGTCCTCCGTCCCGGCTGCCAATAAAGGGAACTCTAGGCTGTTTCCTGCTGTAATATCTGGCACGCAGAGTCATGGCAGCTCCGGCAACTGGCAATTCAAACCTCATTAGCAGAGAAGAATGAGGCTAACCTTCCAGCGTGACGTCGCGAGCCGGTTTGTGTTGCATTCGGAGGCTCCGTGTGAAGCCCCGGCCGCTGATAAGCATGCTGTCATGGCGAACACGACAAGAGATTATCTGCACCGGTCTTCAGTCGGACCACTGGGGGTCCTGCTGCCTTTGAGATACTGTAACAGCCCGTCCAGCACGCCGACGCGCCGACGTCTGATGCATTACATCAGATGTCAGGCGGCGGGCTCCGAGCTCGTGGGGTTTTCTTTTTTTTCTTTCTTTCTGTCGTAGCCACTCCCTTTCTCTTAGTTTCATTTTATCCTCTGTGGCTTTTTCTTTCAGTTGTTTCTGTTGAGCGGCGGTTTCCACGCAGATGTCTTTCTCGCCACTCTCCTCCTCCTTAAGCCTCCAAATTATCAGGGGAAAATAACTTGTAAAAATGCCCTTTACTGGCCAGAAAGAGTGTT